CGCTGTTCCCCGCAGCCCCGAGCCCTCCGTGCTGTTTTCCCCGCAGCCCCGAGCCCTCGCTGCTGGGGCCGCCGTGGCTTGTGCAGCGCTCCCCGCACACCCGCATGCCAGCAGGAGTCCCGGGCTGCCCGGGTGTAGCCCACCCTGCGCAGCCATCATCTCTCAGGAGGAGGGAAAGTTCTCAGGAGTGCCCAGACCCCCTCTGCCCCCAGGCACGGTGCCAACAGGGCAAGGCAGTAATCCCAGGATAAATCCTGTGCTTAGGCACTTGCCCTTGCTGGGAATGGGGCTACATTGAGCTCCCCAGGGGTAGCTTTCTCCCTTGCTCAGTTCCTCTCCCACCTGGCTTTACTGGTGTTTTATCCCCAGAGGGCATGCAACAGCATGGCATCCCTACTCACAGGGTGTGGCATTCCTGCCACCCCTTGCCAGAGCAGAGATGGAGATGCTGCTTTGGCTTCCCTCACCCACATGGTATGTCCTGCCTGCCTGTGGGCCTCTTCACCCACTTCCTGCTGAGGCCTGGCCAGCCTATCTAAGGAATGCCAGAGCTATCTAAGGAAATCCCCATTCCTGCTGAAATTTTTGGCCACCCAGAAGAGAAATCCCAGTGAAAACTCCCCAGCCACAGCACCAGGAAGCAGAAGAGTGGCTGACAGTGCCTGGTTATTCTCAGCCTACATCCTGCTGCTCACATCTTTCAGCCCATACCTCTTATCCAGCATCCTGCAATCTGCATCCTGCAACCTGAAATCTGTGCTCTGCATCCATCTATTTCATCCCACATCCTGCATCCTTTCTCCTGTAGCCTGTACCTCACAGCCTGCACTCTGTAGCCTTTGTTCTGCATCCCACATCCTACAATCTTCGGTTTGCACCCATCCTGCAGCCTGTGTCCTTCATCCCAGACCTTGCATGCCATCATCACAGCTGGCATTCCACATCTCACAGCCTGCATCCTGCATTCTCCTTGCTCCTCTTGGCCTCTGGACCTCAATCACAGAAGAGTTTATCATGATCCCCTTTGCAGGAGCAGTCATGGAGGACCTGCTGGGCTCTGCTCACAGCAGCCATCCTGCCCCAGCTGTGTATTTCCTGATAGACATTTGGGATGACCCAGGTGTCTTTCCTTCTGGTGGTCACATACACTTCCCTGTAGGACACTCTGAGGGTCAGGCCATGGGTTTGTGCATGCCCTCATAGCAGTGAGAATTTGGGTGGCATGTCTTCTGTTCACTGGCCTGCTGGGATGGTGAAAGGAAAAACGGGATAGATGGGCTGTAGCTGCAGGTGTGCTCAGGTTGGAGACTCCATGTCCTTTACCTGCTTCTTTTTCCCTGATCTTGCCCTGCTTTCTTGGGGCCATGGAACTGGGGAAACATTCTTGGGAGGGGAGGGTTATAGGGGATCAGGGCAACAGGATGGTCCCTGTGCTCTAGTGTATGCCACAAGCTGTCCTGTTGCACCACTGCCAGCCCTGCTGGCAGCTATGCCAGAGACTTCACATCCCTGAGATGATGAGTCAGTTCCCATGAGTCAAGGAGGCTGATCCCGATGACAGTGATGCTTTCCTTGGCTCTGCTATGCCAAAAGAGAAAGTCACTTTCTCTAGCTGTCCTTGGCCTTTCTCTGCCCTGCTCGGTGCCAGCACCCAGGGCTCTCCATGCTTTCCAGAGCACCTGTCATGCTCACCTCGCCTGCAGCATTCAAATGGCTAGAAAGAGCCACCAACAAGGTCCCCACTGTTCCCCTGTTGGGACAAACCCCTGGGTTAAAAGTAAAGGGTACTGCCCTGCTGTGCCAGGCACTCAGCAGGGCCCTTCCTGTGTGCCCTGTGCCAGCCCAGGGAAGGCTGTGCCCTTGCTTTCCAGGCACCATGTCCCTCACAGTCCCCTCTCCCCCGCAGCGATGTGATGTTCGTGGTGGGCCAGGAGCAGCAGAAGGTGTTTGCACACCGCTGTGTGCTGGCATGCCGCTGCCAGGTGTTCCGTGGGATGCTCAGCCAGGCACCAGTGGGCAGCCAGGACTCCTCCAGCAGCATCCAACCCCAAGGCCCTTTCATCCTGGGCAACGTGCAGCCTGAGGTCTTCTTGGCCGTCATTGAGTTCCTCTACACCAACAGTGTCACCCTCAACAGCCACATAGTGAGTGGGGATGAGGCTGGTGGGGACCATGGACATGGGAGGGACAAGAAGGGGATGCAGGGAAGGGGGTGCTTTGCAAGTCTTGGTGTGCCTAAGTTGGAGGAGGTGGTCTGTATGATGCTCTCTGGCTGGCTAACAGGGTAATGAATGTGTGGGGTCTCAACCCAGCATGGTGGGGTATCCACAGCACCTTGTCCCAGTCTTGGGACCTCTGGTTGTGCATATCCTGGA